ACTGCTTATGCCAATACATCTCTAAGACAAACCAAACAAGTATTTCCTTTTATTTGATTACAGGAACAATGTTCAGCTTTAGTTTGCAGGTTTGACGGTTGGTTTCAAGGCATATTCGTCTCCACTCTCTAATGGACATAAAAGGAAAGAGATTGATGATGTCTGAGTAACCCCACTGACAAACCCCAATTATTCGTTGCGGTTTCTCGCCTCACAGTAACTCTAGATTATGATTTAGTTTTAACATGTATTTGTATATGTGAAATGCTATGGTTTGTATTTGAACATGTATTATGATAGTAATCTTTATCCATCGAGTTGTCTTTTATATATTGTGAAATGCTATGACACTGCAAGCACCTCCATTATGAAGTAACTAGAATACACTTATTTTGCTACAAATTTTTCGTATCTAATTGCGCTCTCATAGTTGGTTCTACGCACTAAGGCAACTGTTATGATTCAGTGTTGCTCTGTATTTACCTTTCACATATCAATACGTAGCTTAAATGCACTATTCTTCGGCTACAACTATTACCTGTTCCATACAACAACGAGAAGCTACTGCAACCACATTATTTCAAGTTCAAGCAACAACATAAACAAATAAAAATCTTAAAAGTACCTTGACCCTCTCCAATTCCAAATAACCAAATCAACGATAGCGGCCTCCTTCAATTGTGAAAATTGTTACAATAGACCGCAAAAACACTACTACTATGTTAGCATGACTTCAGATTTCACATTTGACTCTTATGTTTGGGAACTGCATTTGTTCGCCCCAAATGACTATATATGGACAAAGATTAATTATATTTGAAGCGTTGTTAATTTTAAGTTTATGTGCATCAAAACTTTTTCCCACCAGAGTATGATAATTGAAAAACAATGAGAACTAGATATTATAATTGCAAAACAGAAGTGAGATACAAACAACGTGTATTGATAGACAATAAACCAATTATTGTATATATGTACCGAACGACTTGTACCAAAAATCAGCAATAGAGTATGTTATACTGAAATTATAATTTAATCGTGGTTCAATGTACAATTTTCAATCCTTGCAATAAACTATACATCAAATCACACGGACTTAAGAAAAGAAGGAAAACAAACGACACAACGGATTCTAGATAGTAGTAAACCCGGCCATAGGCCGGGCAAAAAGCTAGTTGATAGAAATGACAAATTTGTAGTATGTTTTTTACTTTAATTACACTTGAAATGATTAATAACTTAGCTAGCTCTCAACAACAAGGTAAATATGTCATAATTTCCTAGTGATAAGTTTATAGAAGTCGTGCAGTTGTGGTTGCTCCGTAGTCGATGATGGTGAAGAGCAGGGCATATTGTCAAGTCAAGATGTGTAAGAACTGAAGAAGTCGTTAGGTCGACTAGTGCACTTAAGCATGCGTCACTTATATTAATCACATCTCAGGTTGATTAATCGTGCTTAGCTTCCCTAGATGGCATCTAGGGTTATGAACATATAATTGTTTACCTAGCGCCTAGGCGAGGCGTTTGATCATTGTTTAGCGCCTACATGGAATTACATTTTCCTGAACCCTGATACATTGTAGTCCTAGCAAGACAATGATATAACAAAGTCAATAACACAAACACGAGGGACTGAAATGGAAGCAAATAGAAGTTTCAAACTTATTCAATACTTAACCACGTGATATCCTTTTACTAAATTGATTCTTTAATATGTTAACAAAGATTGACTCTTCTTTTTGATTTCTTCCCCTCTATTCTTGTCCCGTATTCTATCCCGGTCCGGTCTTTTCGGGAATATAAGGACCAAAGATTGGATTGGATGCAGTCTGGTCTTGATCCAGTCCGGTCTTGACCCGGTCCGGTCCCAATTCGGTCTCGATTTTAGATTGATCTTGTTGAAATTTGAGTGGCTTGAGACCTCAAAAGGTGAGGAGTTGGTTAAGTTTGAGTGTTGGGCTTTCTTATCCGGTCTTTATCCGGTTTTCGATCCGGTCCCACACAGTTTTTTAACTCAAATCTAAGCCCGAAGATGAGATTGGATTGTTGGCTATCCAGTTCTGGTCCGGTCTCAGTCCGCGTTGTACGGTCCGGTTTCGGGTAAACCCAAAAAGCCTGGACCAAATAGCCAGCCCTAGTTTTAACAAAGTACCTTGAGGAATGAAGGATTCCGGTTTTAACAACCAAATCTCCATGCTCACCAGTCGTACCCCATGGTTATTAAGTTCCACCACCATCATATATCAAGAACCACCTCAACAACCTAGGGTTTTAAAAAAGAGGTGCTCAAGAGTTTCCTCTTCCTCCCCACACACTGGACACTGAGCAAACCCCTACCCCCCCTGATTAGCAATGCCTCACCCGTCGGTAAGACACGACGCACGAGCTGCCATAAAAAATACCGCAACTTGGGAGGGATTGGGGCTTCCTAGATGCTGATCCATAACCCCCTATCCCACGGAAATGCGTAAGGCTGCACCACTAACTCTCGTTTCCTCCTCTGATCCACAGCCATATGATAATCCGACTTCACCGTGTATTCCCCGGATGGATCACCCATCCAAATCAGTCTATCCGGAATCGGCAAGATAGGCAAAGGAATAACCTATGTTTGATGAGGTTAAGATGGATGACTATTTTTTATTAATAAAAATGGGATAATGTCTATTTATTATCCAAACATTTTCAAGATTCTTTTATTTTATGCAAACCTATCGAAATTCTATTTATTATCCAACTGTTACCCCACAGAATGCTCTGTTAAGTTTGTTGACTCAGCAGCATCAGTCCGAGTTGGAAGCCAACGTGGCAGTCTGAGAGGGCATTTGATTTTTATTAAAAAAAAGGTAATGTCTTATCGCCCAAAAAATTTCCAGATTCTTTTATTTTATCCAAACCTATTGGAATACTATTTATTAATCAAATGTTAACTTTTTTTTTTTTTTGAAAAGGATCCATTAAGTAGACAAACGGAACAAAGCCCAACGGAAAGATACAAGCTTCCAAATGGGTAAGGGAAAAAAACCCAACAGGCCCACACAAAGACCAGCCTAGGACAAAAGGCCTAAACACAAATTGGACAAAATTCTCAAAACCCTAGCCACAAGCAACAACCCCTAGAACCTCCCACCGTCACCGGCTGCCACACACACAATCCAAATCCCAGCAAACCCAACCATGGACGATGAAACAACACTAGCGCTAGGACGGAAAAGGTGGAGCAAACCAACCTAGAAGGAGGAACGGTCAAAGAACGAACACCCGCTTCACACCATTCCTCGCTGGATCCAACGCATCAACACCTTGACGCCTACACGAAAACGATCGAGGAAATATCAACCGAAAACTAGGGGAGAAATCTCTATCTTCAAGCTCTTCCAACCGAGCCCAAGCCGACGACTATAGCATCTCTGAGACACCGAGATATACTAGGTGAAACATATAGGAGGTAGACGAGGGATAGAAAGGGGAGAAGACAAGCTAGAAAAGAGAACAGATCCATCCTTCTTTTGTCTCTTAGAAGCAGAGCATCTCCAGAACTGATAAATCAGAGCAGAGGAAGAGAAGTCGAACCCACAAAAGGGAGCAGGAAAAGAACCCACAAAGGGAGGAACATGAAACCGCAAAGAGAAAGTGAAGGGGAAACACCAAAACGTCCCAAAGAAGATCTAAAAGATCAACTTGAGGTGGAAGAAGAAAATCCCATCACGAACAGAAAAAGCAGGGGAAAAAAATAGGGCCACCTTCTCCTACATATTCCACAACCTTCCATTCCTCCTCTTCTTCGTACACCCTGACAGATCGACGAACCCAACGAGCTCATAAGACCACCATCCCCTCCATCGATCAAACCCTTCATCCACTCCATATCACCCTTCCACTGCACCGTCGCTGGTAGAAAAAAAGGACAATGTTCGACGCGGCGGCAGCGGCGACGAGTAAGAAGTCATATCTGCTTCTCCCTAGCTCCACTCATCTCTTCAACTTCCTTCCGACGCAAGGCCAACAACATTCATCCCACTCTGTCCTTGTGCCCGGTACAACCTGCAAACCTTGCTGCCTATGACTCCCGATTCTCGAATCGCACTCACTTTCTTATCCCCAACCTACCTGACTCGTCACCGCCTTCGATTCCCGCCACTCTGCCTCCATCCCCTGCTTCTTTGTGTTCCTTCACAAATATCTAACAAATCCTTTTGGTTTCTGGGTTTTCGGATCTAAAAGATCCTTTGGTAGATGAGTTGATGGAGGAAGGGGAAAGGCAGAGAGCCAAATTAAAAATAAATTAAAAATACAATGAAATTTGATGAATTTCTAAGGTGGATGATGGGATGGATGTTAAGTTGGTCAGTTACAATACGTTTGCTTAATAAATAGTATTCCAATAGGTTTGGATAAAATAAAAGAATCTGAAAAATATTTGAATAATAAATATACATTACCTTTAAAATTATAATAATAAATACATTTAAATATTAATTTTTGACGTGTACGCTGACGTGGATGTTTACATGGAGCTCTGTTACGAAATAAGTAACGATACCAAAAGGAATGCCTAGACTTTGATCCGTTACAATAAGTTTGGATAATAAATATAATTTCTATAGGTTTGGATAAAATAAAAAAAATGAATAGTAAATAGACATTACCATAAAAGTTCTACAAGGTTTATGTCAAAAAACAAGTAACTTAAGACAACATTATTAGCTTCCACAATTTATAAAAACTACCAACTACACATGTTCGTTTTTTTATAGGGTAAATACTATTTTTTAGCCAAACATTTTCCTCATTTCGTAATATTAGCCAAAACTATCGTAATACTAATTATTAGCCAAACGTTAATTAATGTTGCGAAATATTAGCATTAATTTCGTTACCGCTAATTCTTTGTCAACGGTGGTCCAGCTCAGCAAACACGTTAGCTTTCATGTATGATAACATTAAAATTTGATCTTTTTATTATTTTTTGCTTTTAATTTTTAATTCCTCCTCTTCTCCGTCGCTGCAGTTGAGCATCGCCACCGCCGTCGTTGAGCCTCGCTGCCGCCATCGTTGAGCCTCGCCGTCGCCGTCTCGTCGCAGTCGTCTCTTCCCTTCAGCATCTGCATACGAAACCAGAAGACAATAAAATGGCAGCATCGAGAAACCAAGATGCATTAGAAGCACCCAAGAACACAGGAAGCAAACCGAGGCATAATTTGGGTTCGTTTTTCGATTCTCAATCCCTGTATATTCTCCAGTTTTCGCATATTGAGAAACCATAAAATTACATAAAGGGTTCAATTTTGAAGAAAGGATTTTATACTCAAACCAAAAATTTCGAAAGCGATAGGGTTCGAATCGGAAAACTGGATCGACCTTACCTTGCTTGAAGATCGGCCAAAGATTGGACTCCGATTGAACTGTCCCTCTCTCTTCGTATTTAGCTAGCTTCTCAGTCAGGCGTTGATCGCGGTGGTTCGGAACACAGAGATGGATGGCGACGTCAAAACTCAAAATTCTGTAATCAGTGAGGCGCAATGACCGTGGTGGTTTAACAGGCGACGACAGATTTTGCTGCCTCGCCTGCTGGAAACGGAGGGAGATCATCAGGCGGAGATGAGGGAATAGGGAAGAGACCGGAGGAGGGAGGTGATAAGTCGAGACCAGGGGGTTTATTTTTCCTTTTCTTCTTTTAAATCATTATTTTTTAGGTTTAAAATTAGAACCGAAAGTGATCGCCACCTGGATGCCAACTCAACATTATCGTACCTAGTCAATAATTCTAACGAAGATGGTAACGAATAATTAACGTTTGTCTAATAATTCGTATTACGATAGTTTTGGCTAATATTACGAAATGGGGAAAAGATTTGGTTAAAAAATAGTGTTTACCCGTATTTCAACCACAACATCAACCAAAGTGTACCGACTACTAACCACTCCCATCTTCGACTCATCCCAGGCGGGAATGACAAAGTACATCGTCAGAATCGCCGGCAGCAGCGATGGGATGCGATTCCTGCAACACGAACTAATACTGTCCAAACGGGTTGAACCTATGGGAGTTGCTAAAGGTCGCCCTTAAAATTGCTAAAGGTCGCCCTAAAAAGAATCAAAGTTACACTTTTACCCCCTTAGCTTCTTTACCTTCCCTTTATCAAACAAACACCACTTGAACTAAAAAAACACTATCTAAGGAGAGAAAAATCCATCATCGTCATTTTGAAGCCGATATCGTCGGAGTAGCGACTCCGACGAGGTAAATACATTAACTGAAAAACGAAAAAAAAAGGAACCGCAAATCACCTGCGGTTGGACCATGGCTGGACCGCAAATGAACTGCGGTTGGACCATGGATGGACCGCAAATCACCTGCGGTTGGACCATGGCTGGACCGCAAATGACCTGCGGTTGGACCATGGCTGGACCGCAAATCACCTGCGGATGGACCATGGCTGGACCGCAAATGACCTGCGGTTGGACCATGGCTGGACCGCAAATCACCTGCGGTCCAGCCATGGTCCAACCGCAGGTGATTTGCGGTCCAGCCATGGTCCAACCGCAGGTTGACCGCGGTCAGCCGTTGGTTCAACCGCGCGTTGACCGCGGTCGGCACGGTTTTTTTTTTTTTTTTTTTTTTTACCTTCTTCTTCTCCGACGAAGCCTTCTTCTCCGGCGAAGGCTGCTGCGCGGGTGGGATCGCGGGAGTTCGGCGCGATGGAGCGAGGTGCAGAGGGAAGGGAACGCAGGAGAATAGGTTTAGGGCTTGTTTGTTTCTTTCAATTTTGATTTTTTCATTAAGGGTATACAGGTAATTTGACATCTAAGTTAGGGAGACATTTAGCAATTTTAAGGGCGACATTTAGCAATCCAGATTATAATCCATCCCTAATTTCTCTATTGACGATCGCAATAGCGTAAATCGACGGATAGTTTTGGTAATTCGAAAACGTTGTCGACAGAAGCCCCAGTCGAGTTCAAGGCTCGGATCCTGAACAAGGTAGCGGCGTTACGATAATTGTTCTCTAGTTGTTAGTCGCAGTTCGATCCGACGCCATGTATGGAGGAATTGAAAATCAATTAGGGTTTCTATCTCTTGCTTGGTGGTGCAGAGTACTGTTCATGCACCCCCTCCGAAATCCAGCTGGTCTAGAAGCTGCAAGAAGAGAAGATGTCAGTGGGAAACGTCGACCAGTTCCTGGTAAGATTGCCAGGACGAGTCAACGGCGGGATGAATTTCCTGGTAAGGTTGCCGAGATGAAACTGGGGGGTTTGAGTCGTCATAGAGGCCATGGACGACGAAGAAGTCGAGTGGAATAAAACAAAGTCCACCCTAATAGTGAATTTAATCAACCAACTGTACTGCTTTTGGAGCTGCTTCTCGCCATTACTGCAGGTGATGGGTTTGGAGCAGTTCAGTGGAGAAGACAAAAAGACGGATCATTTGGTTATTTTTGCTTTTCCCAATTCCCAGTGGGTCTTATGATTTTGTCACCTTGAGTTGGCCCCGTTCCTCTGCTTGACTGCTTCGCGCTCCATTGTTGTCAACGTCTCTGTTTGTGTCTCACTTTCCGTCGCAGTCCTTATGTCGACTTCCTGGATGGAAATCCATACGAATTTCCTGATCTGCTTGGTTGCTTCTGCCATCCTTTCACTGTCAAGAGATTAATACTCTTGTTTCCTCCTCCATCTCCTTTGTCTCTCTAAGCTCCAGAGTCTCACCGCCATTTCCATCTTCATCTTTGGGACTGTCATTCTTTTTCCCTTCTCTGTCCAAAGCCCAGTCCTCTTGTTCCCATCGAGAAGAGCTTTTCTTTATAGTTGGAGATGGTGTGATTAATTGACAGCGTCACAGTTTTACTTTCAACGTTGAATTTGGGTAGTTTTCTGTGAGGCATTTCCTCGAACGGGCTTCTTTCTCTACAAGGTCTTTGTTTTCTGGAGTTCTGCTTGATTGACTGGGAAGTAGATAGAAATGGGCAAGCACCGTGTGATGGTCCCCGTGGATGAAATTGACTTGTCTGCTGTCAAGTACGAGCAAGAAGTAGTACAAGGTTAGTGTTTGCAGTACCTTGTCCTTCTTACTCAATGAAAATTGAATTCATGAGATAACTCACATTGGTCCACCCTTTTTTTCTTTGAGAAATGCAGCTCCAAGTTTGTCTGGGATAAGATTGAAGCTGTTTACAAGGATACTTGAATCTCCATTCTTTGGTTCTCTGATAGTTTCTCACGTGAAGAAGCAGAACAAGATGATTGAGGTCTGTCCTTCCCTCCTTCGGGATTCAGCCGGTTAATTTTGTTATTTTTATCCGTTCCTGGTTTGCGGTTGTGAAAATAATTGATGAACTAAGCTGGTTTGCATTGTTTTCTGGTTGATTCTCCAGTTATTGCAGAACACTGAGATACCTGAATTGCCCATGTTTAAACCGGAGTTTCCTCTTCAAGGTATGTTCCTCCGGGGTGCATTGCATACTATTTTTAATTGCAAGTAGCAAGAGGAAGACAGGAAAATAAAGCCGCAGCTTATGGCTGAAACGTGGATGAGATTCAATGCAGAACCAGAACGTGGTGTATACATAGTGGATGAATTGGAAACGCCAGAAGAAAGGGTAGCATCAGCATTGAAGTGTCTTCCTGATTACAATCCTGCTCACTCCTTGGATGAGAACCCAGGCACCTGTTTCAGATACTGGACGATTCGCGACTATGCACATGCTTATCGTTCAAAGCTTGTGACACCCTTAATGGTAATAAATTATAACTGCTACAGTGTCCTTTGCTGATAATTCAATTAAATGGGCACTATCAGATCCTCCTGTTGTAGGTGGCAGAGAATATCGTATTGGCTTTAAAGGATTTCGAGGGGAAGACTCCACCATGTCCCCTGTTGGTTTCTTTTGATGTTGATGATATAAGGAAGCAAGCTGCAGCATCCACTCAAAGATTCAGTGAAGGTAAACTGCTCTATTGATCCAATGAACTGTTGGATTCCAGGTTCTGGCTGCAGTTATCATAATCTGACTCGTGTTGGGAATGTTGGGATTTTACAGGAAAAGAAATATCGGTCTTGGATGGAATTTTTATTGCAATCAAAGATGATATAGATTGCCTTCCTTACCAAACTAAGGGTACCCCATTTGGCCTTTTTGTTCCTTCTGCTCACTAGTCTTTGTCCTGGCTAACAAATTCTAAGGTATTATTTTTGTTTTCCTTTGCAACACGAAGGTGCAACAACGTGGATGCATGATGTTCGCCCCGTAAAAAGTGATGCAGTTTCAGTTTCTAGGCTGCGCAGCTGCGGTGTTATATTTCTAGGGAAGGCAAATATGCATGAGCTGGGCATGGGAACTACAGGAAACAATCCAAATTATGGGTTAGTTCATTACTTGGATGTAAATCGTGATGTAGGAAAAGAAACAACCCCTTTTAACTCTTTTCATTGTCGGACGCAGAACGACAAGGAACCCTCATGATCCAGAAAGATACACTGGTGGATCGTCGTCAGGGCCAGCAGCAATTGTAGCTTCCGGACTGTGCTCTGCTGCCTTGGGGACTGATGGTGGAGGTTGTGTTCGAATCATGTTCTGCTCAGCTTACTGATTTGTTTTCTTGTGAACACTTGCTAACCTTTATAGTTCCTTTCCTTCAATGGCATTGGAAAAGGGCAGGTTCAATCCGCATTCCTTCTTCCCTTTGTGGTGTAGTTGGCATGAAAACAACTTACGGACGCACGGATATGAAGGGGTGAGCATTTCGAAGCTGTTAATGTCTCATTTTGCTAATAATTAGGTGTTAACTTTCTTCATTCATAAAGCTGGTAATTTTTTCTGCTTGCCTAGTTCTCTGTGTGAAGCTGGTACTGTGGAGATCATTGGACCAATTGCATCTTCCTTGGAGGATCTCATGCTCGTGTGAGTACTTCTTATGATGTTAGTTTTCTTCCCAGATTAATAAAACTAGACTATAACGATCACAACAAAATTTCCATTTTTTCCAACTTATTAGGTATGCAGCAATTCTTGGTTCTTCACCGGTGGATAGATTTGGCCTGCACCCGGTAATGTTTTAAATCTGCATTTGCAACTATCATTTGCATTACAAAATTCTTGGATTCTCACAATGTTTTTAACAATGCCCCTCTCTGTAGTCTCCACCTTGTTTCCCGAAGTTATCAGCAAAGAAGAGTACGGATGTGGTCGGATCAGTTCGGCTTGGAAGATACACACCGGTGAGTGGAAACAAACTAATAAACTTATCTACCTCCTTTCCGCAATTTATTAATTTCTTTCACGTTAACGCGGTAAGAACGGAACCGGGAAAAGTATAGAGAAAAGACGGTTCATTTCTATTCTATGATATCGCTAATTTTTCTTTTTTATTGCATTAATGGCTACTGGCTTTACATTTGCATTTCATTACTAGTCAGCATTCAAAAATGGCTTCAGCAATTAATTTTGACCCTTAGGCTAATAAGGTGTCAATTAAGGGGGGAAAAGCACAATTTTTACATTTATCACTTCTTCTTCTTCTTCTTCTTCCTAACTTGCTGCTGGCTAATCGGGGTGGCTGCTGCAAGTTGAGACTCTAGGGGGTTGGAGAAAGAGGCCATGAAAATTTTTAATTTTTTGATTGCCACATAGGGTGAAGGTAGAATTGTTGATTTACACGAAGAATATTTTGACAGAATTAAATAGAGGGTGACTAATAGTGAGACGTAAATGTAAAGTCAGTGACCACTAATTCAATAATAATTTTTTTTAGCAAAAATGAAACAGATGAATACATTTGAGTGGCATATAGTTTTTTCTTCTTGGTTCATTCATATGTAATCTCCGAGTCTAAGAGTGAATGTTGACTATTCCCCACAACAGTGGTTTAATGATGTTAAACAAACGGAGGTCTTGGACAAGTGCGGGGATGCTCTTTCCCTTCTGTGTAAGACCCATGGCTGTGAAGTAAGTACTGTGCTTTCGATGTAATTAAAGTTACCCATTAACACGGGCACTAACGGGATTGAGTTAGTTCAACTATGGTGTGTTGGCAGATGGTGGAGATTTTGATACCAGAGCTGCTGGAAATGCGGACTGCCCACCTTGCTACCATTGGAGCTGATATGCATTCGATATTAAGTCCTCACATCAGTAATGGGTAACGTTCAGGCTTCTTGATTTATTGACCGTTCAATAATTTGGTTGTTTATTTATTTTATTACTATGGTATAATCAACCTTGTATGCAGGAAAGGTGCCAAGTTGACATGCGAGAGTCGCACTAGTGATGCATTGTTCCGATCATTCACTGGATCTGAATATGTTAGTGCTCAACGCATTAGGTGAGTCTATAAGGTTTTTGGTGCTTCAAACTTTGAACTTAAAGAGATGTTTCACTCAGAAGCCATTGCCGGTGCGGAGCTTAACATGATGGTGGTAAATGGAAAAGTGCTAAGAGAAAATGAAGTGATTTTAAGCGGGTGGATTTTATTTTTGCAGGAGAAGAATAATGTACCATCACTTGGAAATTTTCAAGAATGTTGATGTCATTGTTACTCCTACAACTGGGTAAGTTGTTAACGAGAAGGAAACAATGGATTGCTTTGCTATCGACATTTTGACTATTACTGCTCACGCCAGCCTCTGCTTACCTTGATTATATCCCTGTCCTGTTAACTTATTATAGAATAATCTCCAAGCATCTCTTGGTTTGAGGGCAGGCTTGATCTTCTTCTTCTTCTCACCTGACCTCCTTTTGTGTGAAACAGAGCAACAGCACCTATGATTCCTCGCAGTGCTCTCAAGTGCGGAGAGAGCGACATGAAGACTACAGGTTTAATTCTCGTCTATTATTTGTCCCTCATCTGATTTCTCATTTTCATGTTTTCTTTTTCTAATTAAATTTTTAAAATGTAGAATGTTTAATTTAGCTATCTAGGATAAGCTTAGGTGATGTTAGCAGTACTCCCTAGCTATCCATGCAGCAGCAGCTTAGAACATCTCTATAGCGGAAAACGTTCCTTCCTCATATGTACCCAAACTGAACCTCAGGTTCAAATCTATGAGGTCGCCTATGTCTGTTCACATTTTCCAAAATCTGCCAAGTGCGCCTCTCGTTGTTCAATTCTGTATTCTCATTTAAATTCTTGACAAATTCTTCTTTATTCGCACCAAGTTAACATGCTAATCAGAAGGTAATAGAGTTAAATCCACAGGCGACAATGCATAAGGTGAAAACTTAGTAGTAGGATGAATAACCTTATGCATTAAAACCATACACATATTCAAAAGGTGAAAGCTTAGTAGTAGGATGAATAACCTTTTTATATACGAATTCAACACGAGGCAAACATTCCTCCCAAGTTCTGATATTACTTTGAATTGCAGCCCTAAGGGTTTGAGGCAAGTATTGACTATTTCTGTTTGAGGGTGACATGTTATAGAACACAGCAACTTAGTTCCTAACTTATTCCACAAAATTTTTCATAAATAACTAAAAAACTTGTCATCACGATTAGATAGAATAGTACCAAACTTTCAACGCTGCTTAACTATTTCTTTAAAGAATTAAGTAAGCTACACTGGAAGCATCATCAGTTTTGTAACGTGGAATAAAATGTGCCATTTTCGTAATACGATCAACCACGACAAAGACATTATATCTTCCCTGTTTACTCCTAGGAAATCCAAGTACAAAATCCATAGAGATATCAATCCAAGGGTCAATAGGAATAGAGAGAAGAGTATATAACCTGGTTGGTTGAACTTTTGATTTGGTTTGGCGGCATTTAATTCGTTGTGCACACACTCACTCCACATCACTTCTCATATGGGCCAATAAAAATGTTCTTCTACGCAATGGCGAAGTCATTTGAAACTAGGTGTATCATCTTTTCAAAATATAAATTATCTAGTTTTTAATATTTTGTAATATAATAAAAATCGAGTAGATACTTTAGTCTAGTGACAAAATACTCTTATACCAGCTCAAAGTGGTGAATCGAACTCTTACATAAGCATACATAACTACATAGGGATGTATTTTTTTATACCAAAACTTACCAATGTCATGTGACATTGCCCAAACCACTTGTTTGCCTTTGCATATGCTTGTAGCCTATAGGCAATTCAAAGTCTTGGATCCCCGGAAATGAGCCATAAGACCTCCATCATTCTCTAACCGATAACTCTATAATAGAAGCATGGGACATACATATATATTTGGTTAGCATGAAACAAATATCCATCGGCTTGATAATATTTTCCTTCACCATGTTTCTCACAAGCCCTACAAATATTTCCATAGTTAATCATCAACTTATAACTCTTTTATATGTTCGAGCCAGTGATTCTATCATCAAGAGATGAGATTAAAGCATACATTCGAGAAATGGCTTCATCGACCACATTCTCCTTACCTTGCTTGTATAGAATCACATAGGGAAAGTATTTTTGGTTAACCGTGTTTCTAGAGCTCGAACCCAAGCATAGAGCTCTTCGTGTCGCACTACTGTTGGAGTTGAAATTGGCTGAGTAGCTTTGGTGTAGATGTTCTCATCATTCCTCCTTAATGCAATGTTGCTCCTAAATTTCTTCGTTTTCTCATCCTGACGCCTTCAAATGTTGGCTTTCTCTTTGTTAAATGACGTCTGCATGTCAGCCTTTTCCTACTTAAATGCCTCCTTTTTGCTGCTTCTCTTGTTCGAAGGATGCCTTCAAGTCATCCTTCTATTTGTTGATGTCCTCCACTCCTCCTGCATCTCTATAGTTGAGTTTACCATGTTTGTACAACTTCCTCCATCAATGTCCTTTTTTTTACCATCAATGACCGTTGAGAATAACTTCTTGTTGACTAAGTAACGAGTATGGATCAAGCTCCCTTGTTGTTTAATCTCATCGTTTGTTGCAACTCGGAAGCTTTCGAGCTTGTCTTGGTGTTGATGTCGACCGCGATATGTTTTATTCCAAACAAGGTTGTCAACCCGCGGGTTGACCCGGATCCGGTCGAGCTAGTGGATCAAGGGTTAATGGGTCAACCGTTTTAGTCCGGTTTGGCCCGGAAATATAGAAAGAGTCATTATATTGCACTTATCCTCATAAATTATATCAAATCTTATCTAACATATAAGTTATAACATATAATATTACACCAAAATAACATATTGTACTTAGATCCAACATATAGTGAAAATTCACACACACTTATATAACATAAATATTCAAATGTTCAACTTAGTATTCCAAAGATTGAGTTAGGCGAAAAGAAAAATTGGAAAATAGGAGCATTTCGCAAACTAAAGAAAAAAATGACACAATTTGACATCCAACCCAGGTACCTAATAGCGATCGACCCGGCGGATGAGTGCGGCCCGTTTTTCTCACCGGGTCAGGGTTAAATTGGGTCGACCCGTGGATCAACCCGCGGGTTGACAACTTGATTCCAAATAAATCCTCAAATATTTTACCTAATTGCCAATTCAAATATTTAATGAACTTGTTTCTTGTAGACCAAGTTGGCTAGTGATACCAACTTGATTGTATTAAAATTGAAAACTTCAAAGCATTTTTGGGGAGAAATTCTAACATTCTTATAAAATTTACTCATATGAATGAATCCAATCACGAGAACGTCTGGTACCGAAAATTGTTTAGCTGAGACTTGTGGTACTTAGATGTTTACATTGCTTGCTCATTGTGGCAGGTTTTCTTATGCGCTTTATCATCGCACCAAATCTCATTGGTCTTCCGGCTATATCTGTCCCTGTGAGTTGATCTCTTTATGAGTTTTATCTTGAATAACTTTTTTTTCTTCCTCCGATGAAGTTTAGCTTAGAATAATTGGTTTAAACATTTGATTGCCAAAAGTTGGATCATAGGTAGATTTGACAAAGTTCATAAACAAGTCCCCCTATAAATTTTCATGGTAATTTTGCTCTTCTGATAGTGAAATATTATCAAACATACCCTCATTTATTATTCATATGAAAATTGTATTAATTATGATTTATCTACATAATTATATCGATTATGGTAAGAGTTGTATCAAATGATGACATCTTGTATAGCACAAATGAATCTAATTTTGCTAGTTATGTTGAAAATTTAGTTGAAAAGGTCTGTTAAATGCACACTAGAGCACTTCCGAATGCCAAGGCCTAGAAAATGTGTGGTTGTCCAAAAGTTACCTAATTTGTTTACTATGGCTTATAGTACGGACCATTAGATTATACTCTTTTTTTTTCCCACTTCTCAAATGAATTGTATATTATTGGTGATAAAGTTGTACGTAAGCATGGGTGGCAACTGAAGCACTGGAGAAAAAAAAGCATCAAATCCTCCATTTTTGTTAGCGAAAATGGTAAATGGAGAGTACGTAACAGTGAATTTAAGTTATAAATAAATTTGTTTGCAGATTGGTTACGACAAGCAAGGGCTTCCCATTGGCTTGCAGCTAATCGGTCGCCCATGGGGAGAAGCCACAATTCTCAGGCTAGCTTTTGCGATCGAGGTACTAATATCCTCCTATTGAATGAAAAGGCCAAAAAGGAAATGAAGGATTTAAATGTGTTTTGTTTCAAAGTGCCAGCAAAAGATGTTGGTTCATCATTACTAAAATAAAATATGTTGCTATCTTTTAGATAATTTGTGTTTTTGGCTGCGCCTGCAGGAACTATCTGCGGCTTCCTTGAAGAAGCCAACGTCATTTTACGATGTTCTCAAAGCAAATTAAAAAGCATTTGACTTGCCAAAGATAGTATGAGTTTTGGATAACATATATACTATCCCGAGGACTGCGTCACGGTACTATTATGGGTTTCTTCGCAGACCTAATTCCAGCAAAAAATAATTGATATGCTTGAAATTTTCTTACATACTTCTGAAACTTTATCGACGAGGTTGATTTTTGGTCCAGTAATAGAAATTTGTAACTGTTTGAACCATCTAGCTCCGGATCGAACAATGATATTTGTTGGTGTGGGGTTGACTCACGATCCGTTCGTCTGATCTCGTCGGGAGGGAAAGAACCTGTGAAAGAGTCGGGGTTGCCCCCCGGATTAAGCTCCGACGGTCAAGTTAGTGTCGGTTTGTGGAGAGAGTTGAGAGAGTAGATAGAGAGATGAAGTGTAGAGAGATAGTAGAAAAAGTGTAAAGTGAGGAGAGAGGAGAGCTGTCCCTTTCTTTGGAGGGCTTCCAGCCCTTATATACCTGTAGCGGGTATCGAGCGTTGGGCATCGCCGATTATGCGCCCTACTGCTTAGTCTGTGCGCTCAGTCCCTTAGTAACACCCCCAACAATTGCCCCCCAAGCTGGTGGTGAGTTTTAACTCATCACTAGCTTATATTTTATTTTTTTAAATCTTTGTCGGTAATTTTGGGTGGGGCCTATGTACCCCAGTTGCCCCCCAGCTGGTGGCGCGTTTGAGTGACGCGGTGCCAGCTTCTTGCGTCTTGCCCCCCATTAGCGCCATTAACGCTTAGGATAGTAAAATATTTTAAAAATTTAATAAGGATGGAGGGATAGAGTACTTAGCTTTATATTGGCAGTGGCGGCAGGAGTAGTTGAAAGGCCGGCGCTGCGCCATTGAAACAGAACCTGAGTGGGCCCTCAGTTTGGATTTCTCCTCGTCGGGGTTTTTAGCCTTCAATTTGGAGTCTTCGATGCTCGTATTGAAGTCTTATTTGTGTGCTTCGTTGAGACTTATTTGTGGCTCCTCGTCGGGGTTTTTAACCCTCAGTTTGGAGCCCTCCTCGTCGGGGTTTTTAACCCTCAGTTTGGAGTCTTCGATGCTCGTATTGAAGTCTTATTTGTGTGCTTCGTTGAGACTTATTTGTGGCTCCTCGTCGGGGTTTTTAACCCTCAGTTTGGAGTCTTCGATGCTCGTATTGAAGTCTTATTTGTGTGCTTCGTTGAGACTTATTTGTGGCTCCTCGTCGGGGTTTTTAACCCTCAGTTTGGAGCCCTCCTCGTCAGGGTTTTTAACCCTCAGTTTGGAGTCTTCGATGCTCGTATTGAAGTCTTATTTGTGTGCTTCGTTGAGACTTATTTGTGGCTCCTCGTCGGGGTTTTCAACCCTCAGTTTGGAGCCCTCCTCGTCGGGGTTTTTAACCCTCAGTTTGGAGTCTTCGATGCTCGTATTGAAGTCTTATTTGTGTGCTTCGTTGAGACTTATTTGTGGCTCCTCGTCGGGGTTTTTAACCCTCAGTTTGGAGCCCTCCTCGTCGGGGTTTTTAACCCTCAGTTTGGAGTCTTCGAGGCAATGTGCCCTCTCCCTTAGCGCCATTAACGCTCATGAGAGTAAAATATGTCAATATTTGATAGTGAAAAAGGGGTGGAGTACTTAGCTTTCTATTGGCGAAGCGGCGCGAAGAGTTGTCAAAAGGCAGACGCTGCGCCTTTGAAACAGAAGGCTTGTATGTAGCCTACTGGTAACCTCGCTTATAAGGCGGAGTGATGGCGCGGGTTCGAATCCTTGCGATGATGACAATTTGTTTTTGACGCGAGTTGATGATGGCGCGGGTTCGTTGATATTAGGGTGCTGCGCCCAATGATCACCAAGCGTGCTTGTAGTCTGCTGGTTACGTTGCTTGTCTCGGGGTGGAGTGGCGCGGGTTCGAGTCCTCGCGGCGATTATATTTTTTGATGAGTTCCGTGTCTATGGAATTCGGGCCGCGAGTTGGGCCTGTGTGGGGCAGAGCATGTTTCGAAGTGGGGTTGGCTGATGTGGGCCGCGGGTCCTTGGCGAAGCGGGACGGACGCGATGGGGATCCGCGTGGGGCGGACTGAACGCGCGTCCGGCTGACGTGGGCCGCGGGTCCCTGGCGAAGCGGGCCGGAAGTATGAAGGTGGGGCGGACACGGATCCGCGAGTTTGGGGCGCGACTTGGGCTTCATCTACGCGTGGAGTGTTGTTGAAATAAGAGTACTGCGCCATAGGGTAACAAGTCGCGGTTGTAGCCTGCTGGTAATGCTGTTCGTCTTGTGGAAGGGTGGCGTGGGTTCGAATACCTGTGGCGACTTTATTTTTTATGAGCTGACGCACGGGCTTCTGGGAGCGATGCGTTGCTTGGCGCGCATTGGGAACGAGTGGCTTCTTCTGGGACGCACAAGTGGGCCGCGAGTGGGGGTTGAGGCGTGGGCTTTGAGGCGGAAGGTGGCCCAGAGACGCGAGCTGAAGGTTGAGCGGGCCGCGGGTGGGCTTGAGGCGGAAGGTGGCCCAGAGATGCGAGGTTGGACCGTGCCCGTGAGGCGGATCGTGCCTGTGTGATTGGTGGGGGCTTCGGGTTGAAGTGGACTCGGCCCGTGAGGCGGATCGGGCCCGCGGAATTGTTAGGGGCTTTGGAAGTGGGCCGCGAACGTTGGGGACGCGAGTTGGGCCGCGAGCGTTAATACATGGCGGGAGACTTGGGCTTCAAAGGTCGGGTCTGGCGGAGCAGAATGGAGGTGGCAGCGAAATATTGGGCCGCGCTAGTGACAAACTGAAGCGGGCGAAGTTGCTGGCGCGGGTATGATGTGAGTTGTGTCGGGACGCGAACTGGGCCGCGAGCTTTTTTTTTTTCCTTCTTTTTTTTTCGTTTTTCTGGTTGTTCTCGGCCAGAGGAGTTGCGGCGCGAGTGTTGTGGTGGGTAGAGCTTGGTGATGGAAGCGGACAGAGAAGAAGGCCAAGAATACATGGCGTAGCCCACAACCTCGCCGTTGATTTCTATGTAGAGCAGCCCAGAATTTTTCTTCCTGATCTCTTCGTCGAATGATCTGGCGAGTGATTCGTGCTTCGGGACTATCTTCCTCTCCATCTTCACCACTTCTTCAACAACCTTGGCCCAACTGCCTGAATTTTTCTGGAACTCCAATACGACTCTAGCACTCGCCATGGCTGGGATAGCAGTGGCGCGCTTCCGATTGAAGAAGTGACGGCGCCTCATTCTTTCGAAGACAAACGGTCTTTATGGTTTCTCGGCGAGGCGCATCCGGCGTCTTGGCGGTTCGAAACTGGAGGCGCATTCCTGACCGTCGTCCACTAGTGACCATATTTTCTCGATTTGTGTGACCTCGAGAACCCCATCTGTCAGCTTTCTCAAGAGAGAGAGAAGGTAGCTGTCGATGACTAGGGGGCGACGAGACAAATGATGGTGATGTATCCGTCTGTCTTACTGTACATGAATAGTTTTGCGAGTTGACTGCTTCGCCTGATCTCTGTCGGCAGTAGCATTTTCGACCGGCGAGTTCGCCGGAATGTAGCTGCTGGTGGTCTTAAGGTCGTCGACATCGTGGCGGGGCAACCTGCAGAGGAGGCCCTTTGACGCCGGAGATAATCTTTCTTGGGAAAGGACGAAAGGAAGGCCACACGGATCCCTAGAATAATGGTCTTGTTCCCATTTGCTGCCGTCGGTTCTATTTGGTGGAGGGGATATGACCTTTTCTTTTTTGTCTTAGTGCATTGGTCGAAGTGGCGGTGGCGATACTGAACTTGGAGGGATTTTACAGCCGCTCTCGCTTGGTCTTGCTCGGCGGGTCTTGAAGGGATGGACACATCTGCTCTCGCTTGTCGTCGGTAGCCGGTCGCTTCCCTCCGTTAGAGATCAAACGATAGATCCAAATCATTGCCCCACGGTGGGCGCCAATTGTTTGAACCATCTAGCTCCGGATCGAACAATGATATTTGTTGGTGTGGGGTTGACTCACGATCCGTTCGTCTGATCTCGTCGGGAGGGAAAGAACCTGTGAAAGAGTCGGGGTTGCCCCCCGGATTAAGCTCCGACGGTCAAGTTAGTGTCGGTTTGTGGAGAGAGTTGAGAGAGTAGATAGAGAGATGAAGTGTAGAGAGATAGTAGAAAAAGTGTAAAGTGAGGAGAGAGGAGAGCCGTCCCTTTCTTTGGAGGGCTTCCAGCCCTTATATACCTGTAGCGGGTATCGAGTGTTGGGCATCGCCGATTATGCGCCCTACTGCTTAGTCTGTGCGCTCAGTCCCTTAGTAACACCCCCAACAGTAACAAATAACAGGGGGTCTACTGGTAAAGGGGGTGTCTCACGTTGTGTGGGATTATTAGGAGGTATGGAGGTGAGGGTGGGTATGCTATTCAAATTTAGTCAAATGACCAGATCAAACCAAAGTTTTAGTACGATGAGTCGAATTAATTAAGATATAATAAAAATCGTTTTAGGTTATGCGAATCAGAAAGAGCTATAAATTATAGCACTCCGACTATCGGATTTAAGTTCGACCGATCACAAATCTACTAATTGGGTTGACGATTATATTATGTGGGAGTTGCTAATTGTCGTCCTAAATTTTCTATAATCGCCCTAACTTACCGCTTACAAATACCCTTACGCCCTTTTCTTTTTTATTTATTAAACTTATTATATTTTAACAAACAAATAACATCCGCCTACTATTAAACCTAATTAAATAAATTGACCTAAAAATCTAAGCGGCCACAAGGATCCTTTGTCCCCACAACTCTTGTCTCTTTTCCTCAACAAACCACTGTCGTGCGCGCGAACTCATCTCCGTCATCATAGTTTATGTCGCCTCCAGTCACCCACCGCAACTCTTGTTGTCTCCCTCACATACTCAGCAACTTTGTCAGGGAATTACAGAGTGCTCAAACGGCAATTGAATTAAGGAGAATAGGCCGATAGGAGAGGTTCTTGATTCTCTATGGTGTTTTGGTGAATGGAGTTTGTCAATTGGATGTGTGTGCCTTGAACATCACTCTCTATTCACGTCTGGGAATGATGGCGAGTTCCACATCAAGGCCTCGTTTCACCTTCCTCGTTGGATAAACTAGAGACCAGCGAGAATCACGTATTTTATTTGCCATGGCTATCTCCGAATCACCTCCAAGATGCCTCCCCAACCCTAGCTTACTTAAATCGTTGAAGTTTGTCCTGGATTTTGAAGCCCCCTAAAGAAACCAATTAAGTTAGGGGTCCAGTCGGTGGCACAGGTGTTGATGCAGGAGCCCTGTTCAATTTCTTTGGAGGAGTGCGGGGAGTAAACCGACGAAGAGTTGAATTTGAATTGATTAATAAAGGGTAATTTAGTAATAATATATTTTAAATTAGGGCGATAATAGTAAGTTAGGGCGACGTTATATGTACCAATTCTTAAAGGGTGATTGTGTTTGTGGTTGTCGCGGTTGATAACCTAATACTGGACTAGAAGGCCGAGGAGGAGTAGGTTGTTGGATGGCTGGTGGATTTGGGGAGATGGTTTGATGAAGGATTGGGCTCGGAATGGGTTGTCGGAAATGGGGCGTCTAGGAGAGGGGAGGGGTAGTGTTAAGTTGGGCCCAAGGTGGGTGTAGGAGATGGAGATGGATTAATGGGAATGATGGGTCTATGACATTTAATGATGGGCCAGACTTCATATCTACATAAGGAAAGGAAGTTTGGTATATAAAAAAAAATGGCAAATATCATGAGGAACCCAAACTATTAACAATGTGTCATTTTTGTCCTAAATTATCCAATATGACATTTGTGTTCTAAACTATTTTTCGTTAGAGTAGACCGCCGTTGACCATTAATTTTTAACATAAAGTTTAGTCAGCGCTGATGTGGCATCTGACGTGGAATTTATAATATCAATTTATAGTTATTTTTCATATAAATGAATAAACTAAAACAAAAAAATGTACAAAAAAAAAACTCCTCCCTGGCTCCCGACTTCTTCCTCTTTTCTTGTACTCAACTCAGATAAGTTAATCTGCTAATTTGAAAATTCGTTAGCAGATACTAACTGATATCCAAAATACATGAACTAGTATCCAAGTACTAAAGTATCTAGAGAGCACAGACTAGTATTCAAAGTTTGCTAACTGATATCCACCATGAATCAACTATTATCCCAAATTCACAAACTAATATCTAGACAACACAGAATAGTATCCATATAACACATAATTAGTATCCCGATAACACTTAAGAGTATCCATATTGAATACTAGTTGGTTGATTGTGGATATTAGTTGGTATCTGCTATATGGATACTAGTTTGTGATGTTTTGAATACTAGTATGTGTTATCTAGATACTCAGCAGACTTGGATATTAGTTCATATATTTTGGATATTAGTTAGTATATACTAACGAATTTTCAAGTTAGCAGAATAACTAGGCTGCCATCTGCTACCCAAATCCTCTTCTCTCGTCCCCAACTCCATCTCCCAGGCGTCCCCACTCTCGTCACCCTCCCTCCCTGTCGACAGTGAGACCATTCCCGAGCGAAATCACCATCTGCGGTCGACAGATCGATAGATTCACCACTCCCAGTGACAACCCCTGCCCGGTGCCGGAGCCGTGCTAGTAGATCGACTTTCCAGGCGACACGATCGTCGAATCAGACTTCCAACGCGAGGAGTAGATCGACGTTGTCGATGGCGGAGTTGGCGTAGACCAACCATGTTCTCATTGAGAGAGTTTTGACCTTCTCTCTCCCTATCGCCTCTGCCCTTCACCGCTTTCCAACTCTGCCTCGCGTCTACTCTAATCTGAACGGTGAGAAGACGACGACGGCGATGAGTGAAGAAGGTGGTGACGGTGGAAAATTCGTGAGCGGAGAAGAAAGTCAGGGAGACGAATTGGCAACGGCTAAGAAATCGGAGGTCAGTGAAATTTGGGGAGAAATCAATTGAAGGGATTGAGGAGATGAGATTTTCGATGGGATGTATATGGGTCGGGTGGTTCAGGTTTAGCCCTTTTAGTCACCCTACCTATGCACTACGGTTAGGGTAATATTAAACCCAACCCCTACCTATGCACTACGGTTTAGCCATTTTAATAACAAATCCTACGGTTTGTTTCTAATTGGGTTGGGTTGGGTCAGGTTGGCGATATTTTTAAGTAAAAACCAACCCAACACAAAATATATAATTATTCTACACCATAAAAATATTTTATAACTAATTAAAATTTCAAACGAATAAACCGAGGTGAAAGGTATCAAATTTCACAAATGTTGTTTTAGTTTTAATAAAATGTGATTTACTTCAACATATGTCTAGTTTTTTCACAATATTTGTTGAAATATGCTAAAAGGTTATAAACGAATGCACCCATAATATGTTATTCTAATAAAATTGTACATAGGAAAAAGGATTAGGGCTAATACCACTGGGAACCCAGAACTATTAACTTTGTGCCATTTGTGTCCTAAAGTATTCGATATGACATTTGTGTCACAATGTATGATAGTTGTGTGTCATTTATGTCCTGACGATTTCGTTGACCGTTATAAATAACGGTTGACCAAACGGAAGTCAACATTAACATTGACTTTTGTTGACGTGGCAGCCACATAGATGCCACGTCAATGACACCTCATATTTTTAATTAAAAAATAAATAAAAAAATAAAAAATAATAGAGAGTAGTATAAAAAATAAAAAATAAACCCTTATAAGCTTTCCTCTTCTTCTTCTAATCAAATTCCGCCGAGGAAAAAGGAAACGGCGGCGGCATTCTCGTCTTCCTCTCCGCCACTCTCACCGCCGCCCTCGCGTCCTCCTCTTTCGTCTACACAACACAAATTGAAAACAAAAAATAAAAATCAAACATCCGACGCTGAAGATTCACCTGAGCTATCCACGCACGGACTTCCGAACTCCGATAATGAAGCGATCATAAGGACCCCGCTTCGTTCTAAGCCCTAATTGAAAGGTTGCAAGTCCCTCGACCGAGTTTCCTCCAGAGAAGAACCTCTCAATCGAAAATGAAATTGGGGAAAACAAAAACAAGGGTTTAGTAAGTGGAGATTACGAACCAGTGGAGCAGGAGTTGCGGGATTAGCGTTTGCTTCAGCCATTATCGCCGGAATCTGATTAGGCGGAGGACGACTGCCGATCGGAATCGGGGAAAGGAAACAGGGGAACTTCTCCGTAAGCGTGGAGACGGAGAGAGAAAGATCGGAAGCGAACAGCGTGATTTAAGAGAGAGAACTTTCTTTGTTGGTTGGGTTCACTCGTCTCCATCCTCATTGAAGCATTTCATCAATAATCGGAGCCACGCCACCGGAAAGGCTTGCTGTGGGTAGCAATCTCAGAGCTCACCCTACAAACTCAGCAGCGGCAGCGGGTGGATGGTTGACTGGCGTGGTTTCAGGGAAGGCGTATGCTCTTGAGTGAATTCGCCTGTAGCAAGTAGACGATCAGCTACTTCTTCCGGTGAATCGACATTGAAGCACAAGCTTATGCTCTGATTTCCCCTATCTAATTCTCTCTTTCTCTCTCTTTCGGCGGAATACAGAAGGGTTACGGGGAAAAGGTGAAGAGCCAATCTGGGAAAGCGAACGAAATTTCCCCTTTTTTAATTTTTCTTTTAATTTCCATTTTTTGTTATTTTATCCTTTTAATTTCCACGTCAGATGCCACATCAGCGCTTATTAGACTTTCTATTTAAAACTAACGGTCAACGCCAGTCAACCATAACGGAAAAATAGTTTGGGACACAATTGTCATATCGAATACTTTAGGATACAAATGACACAAAGTTAATAGTTCGGGTTTCCTAGTGGTATTAGCCCAAAGGATTACGTGAATCATAGCTATATTAAATTTATGTCTAAACTTTAAGCTGAAGAATGCATTAGATTAGGGAGACCATGAGAGAAAAATATGGCGAAATATCTTAATTTTCTCATAAGTATGACTATATACGACATAAATATTTTTGGATACAAACTCCTACCAATAGTTGGAACATGGGTTGGGTTAGGTTCTACGGGTTGTGTAATCCAAAATCCAAACCCAACCTGATAGAGGCGAATTGTACAAAAGAAAACCCTCACCCAACTCAAAACCTTCATTTTAGCGATAAATACGGGTGGAATGGGTCGGATTGGACATGTGGGTCGGTTTACGAATGTGTTTGTTCACCCCTATGACGACTCGCATAAATGCGGCCCATTGTGGACTCAAGGTCAGGGGCGGAGCTATGTTGTTCTTCGGGGTGGCTCCGGCCCCCCCGAGAATTCTGAAATCACGTGTTAAGTTCGATAGGAATTTGAAAATTTACGTATACACCTAATACAATATAAGTAAATTTGTGTGCAAAATTGTAACATTAATGTTTGGGTGGCTCAGCGGAAGGATTCACACTTGTTAAATGGAGTGGCCGGGTTCGAACCCAGTGCATCTCCTTTTTTTACATTTTAAAACATGGAAGTTTAATGTACAATAGTTTAATTTGACCAAAGAGCAATTTAATAAGTTAATAATTATCATATATAGGTCAATTTTAATTTCTTTAAAATTAAAATATAGTTTAATTAATTTCTTCAACTTTTGAATTTATATTCTTAATGATTCTCTTGATTAGATGATTAATTATGTAACTTTTTATTTGACAAAGAGCAATTTTATAATTTTTATAGTATGTTTTATAAGTATTTTACTTTAATAATTTGTTAAACAAATTATTTAGAAAATTTGTTTTAGATTCTAATTTGAGTGACTTTTTAATATCAAATAACGTCTTATATTATTATTATTATACTATTAATTACTAATATTATTATTATTTTCTTATCATTTGTTTACTTTCGACGATAATGTACTAGCTAACTCCGGCTCCCCCGATCGCCCAATCCTGGCTCCGCCCTTGCTCAAGGTACCGATAATCTTTATGCAATTTACTATAGTAATGGAACACACATGGAATAGAAAGGGGAGCAAGTTTATGGGAGGTATAAGAATGGAACCAAGGATAGCAATGACAATGGAAGACACGATGATGGAGAAGATCATGGTGAACGTTAAAATAATGTTAGGAAAGGGAAACCAGTAAGAAAACTAAGAATAAGGGAAGTAGAAGTATACTTCATGAGATAGCAAGCACTATCGAAGGCGAGAGGTTAATATTTGAGATGCACATGAGCATGGTGAAGCATATGCATGTGTCTTCCTAATTAGTGCTGTCATGATTTGATTTGGCCTCATGCAAGGTTTTAACCCGTTATCATGTAAAGAGAAAATTAATCACACAAGAAATAAACGAATAGAAACAAGTCTAAATGGCTACCTATATGCTCTGTTTCTCCTGCTGATTTATCTTTCTCTATGCCTAGACAACCGTGACCAGACAAATTCTCATACAGTTTTGCAATCAAATACGAAATGGCACATGACACAACCCTACTACAATGTCGATTCTTCACAAAATTTAGAATTTATGTTTGAACATACCCACTAGGATCATGAAACCGGAGACCACAAATGCGCTTGGAGCCCTCAAATAAAAATTTGGACGGTGGGCAAGGCTCCAGCCTCCCAAGTCCAATATCTCAATCAATCAACACAAGCATTCATGTTCGATAACCCATTATTCATATTCGATAAACCATTATGTTCACAAACACCCGCTGCTTGCGAACCCGTCGCCTTCTGTGGCTTTCGCCGGTGCCATTGGAATCCTGCTCCTCTAGTCCAAATTCTCTCTGACAATCAAAGCGTGGCGGTGGGAGTCCCTCCCGACGGCGGCGATGCTGTTGTTGGGTTCCCATCTAGCGCTCCCTCTCAAGCAAAGAAGAGGTGCCTCCAAACGGTTTTTGTCCTCCATCCCCGTCCCTTCGTTGTCATCCTTGTAGGGGTTAGAGAGCCATATTGAGTTTGGGAATTGAGAGAGAGAGAGAGATGGAAGAAATTGGAATAGAGAGAGGGGTGAACGGCATTGTTGATGGTGAGGTGGGACTAGGCCCTAGGGTTTATTATTTAGCATGATTTAAACCGAGTTTGGGGTATGATACTATATCCTAACCTCAAATGGATAAACACCAGACCCCGATTTTCTAATCCCAAACCCAAAGTTCAATTTAAGAGAAAAGAACAGTTGACCGTTGAGATTGGTAGGAGCTAATCCATGTAAATCTAACGGTAAGATCATATGGAGCATACTATACTCCTGGAGCATACCAGTCGTCTCCACATATATATATATATATATATATATATATATATATATATATATATATATATATATATATATATATATATATATAAATGATAAAATCATTAAGTGGTATATGTAAAGTAAATTTCATTTTAGTCATTAAATCGTTAAGTTACTAACTTAGGTGTCTTCTACTTGTGATAATATTGTTTATAAGGTATCGGTTCTCTAATGGTTTTTTTAACGGTCTAATACAAATTAGATCACTAAATTGTGAGCCGTTCACGTTACCGGATCATACTCGAGGTCGGTTCTGATAATATTGCTTCAAAGTTTAAAGCATACTAGATGAGCTATCTTCTCCCTAGTGGCCATTGGTTGTCGAAAAAGTTAATCTGCTAATTTGAAGATTCGTTAGCAGATACTAACTGATATCCAAAATACATGAACTAGTATCCAAGTACTAAAGTACTTAGAGAGCACAGACTAGTATTCAAGGTTTGCTAACTTATATCCACCTTGAATCAACTATTATCCCAAATTCACAAACTAATATCTACACAACCCAGAATAGTATCCATATAACTCATAATTAGTATCCAATAACACATAGGAGCATCCATATTGAATACAAGTTGGTTTGATTGTGGATATTAGTTGGTAATTGATTGGCTGAATACTAATTATGTGAGTTGAATACTGGTTTTGTGATGTTTTGAATACTAGTATGTGCTGTCTAGATACTTTAGTAAAATAAACAAATTTGAATACTAATTTATACATTTTCGATATTAATTAGTATATACTAACAACATAATCACTCTATTGGATTGGTCGTGGCCACTGGCTAGGGAATAAGATTTGAGAGCGATTGTATTTGGATAGGCAGCTGACTCCTCCTATGCCTTTGGTCCCAGAATTCTTTTTGGGTGGAAACGCTAAGTTAATATTCAATATTGTATTTGGATCTAACAGGTTATGGAAGGAATTGGCATCTTTGTTGGGACCACAACCCAATTGCGTCACGCAACGCAAGTAATCTTTACGCCACCCGCCAATCGCTCATTGCAATCCTCTCCTCGGTGCTGTCACTGCATTATTCCCAATCTCTTCTTTTATCTATTGTGCTCCTCCATCTTTTCCGAAGCTCTGCTTTCCGAAATTCACGATTCCGACCCAAAAAACGCCGGCCGGCCGGGCCACCCACCCAGCCACCGTCTCCTCCAATCGACCTCCGTCGGCGTTTCTTGCGGTCAGTTGAATCTCATCAAAGATGATGCACATGACACTGTATTGGGGGATCCAAGTCACGCTTCTCCTCGACTCCTGGAAAACCGACTCCTTGCTCTCTTACCTCCTCACTTTACTGGCCTGTTTCCTCTTCGCCGCCTTTTACCAGTACATGGAAGATCGCCGCATCCGGCTCAAGGCCTCCACCAGTTCTTCTTCCTCGCCTCCGCCGCCGTCCCCGGTCAACGCTCCTCTCCTGCTCCCCAAGCCCGCTACGGGTCCGACTCGCCTCGCCGGAGCGATCTTGTTTGGGGTGAACTCGGCGATGGGGTACTTGCTGATGCTGGCCGTCATGTCTTTCAACGGCGGCGTCTTCCTCGCCATCGTTCTCGGCCTGTCGCTCGGTTATCTCCTCTTCAGGAGCGGAGGCAACCAGGAGCCGGAGATCCTCCTCGTAGATAATAATACCTGCGCTTGTGCCTGATCTCATCGCTGAAAACTTATTTTCCCCATCAGCTTTTTATTGATACCACTGTTTTTAGATTTTTCTCAGATTACGGTTAATGGCTTGTAATCCAGCAGAGGCAGTGATTGAAACATACAGATGAAGATAGTCACATCTATTTATTCTTCATCACCATCATCTGATCTAGGTTACTTGGAACATGATTATTGTTACGGTAAACGATTCTTTATGAATGAATGAATGAATGAATTCTTCTAATGAAAAGAAAGCAAAAACGGTCACAACAGCAGAAAGATTACTCTGCTGTCACTGATTGCTCTGCTTCCACTTCAACCTCCCACCTATGGGCTACTAACACCCAACACTGCCCACAACATGCATCAGTGCTCCATAATGATGATCCGACGACCTATACGCTGCAAGCCAGTGTGATCAATAATAAGCACCAGCTAGCTAAGGCAGATTCAGCAGCAATTGGCCGATTACCGATGGACAAACAAAGAGAGATGTCCCACTGACTAATCCCACGAGCTGCTCCACAATCACATTGATTGGGATCATCACACAATCACTAAACAAGCAACAGGTGCAGAGATATGCTATTGACCCAACATTTGCAGCCCTCTTAACTGTAACTGAGACATGAATCCTACTTCAAGAATCCCCATCATCAAAGATCAAACTAAAATATATCCAAAATGTCAACCCTGAATAACAAGGGAGTCTGTATGTCTGCGCAAATCTGAATTGTCATATAAATCAGACACTACTAGGTCTTCCATCAAGGCTAGCAACTCATCTCTGTTGCTTTGGGTGGGCTACTTTTGTTCTTGTTCTGTACCTCCTGTATCACTCCACTTTGGAGCACCCTTTTCGATTCTACTAACCAGTTTCCATAGTGGCAGTCTGCAGTTTTCACCTTGTTAATCTGCCAAAATCAAATAAGTTTTCCTTGAGCCAACGAGAATGACGTATGAGTCGGGATTTAGAAAAACCCAATTCCTTTTCCTACTCAATTTCCTGCAACGGGTATCAGATTTAGATGCGGTAAAGGAAATAAGAAAGAAAATTTATTTATAAATACCCGCTTTTCAGTTTTAGATGGGTTATTGTATATCGTTGTCCATCTTTATTGCGTTGCTTTTAAGAGCCGCGAGGATTCCCTTTCTTTCGCCCTTCCGCGCTGCCCTCGTAACGTCCTGGAATTGCAAATTCATATTCACAGACAGCGATTGGGGAGCGACCGAGCGAACGAGAGAGCGATTTAATTGTGAGAGCCCTTGTGCCTAGATCTCGAACAGAAACAGAGAGAGAGAGAGAGAGATCCGATTCGGAGCTCCGAGAATCCAAGGCCCGGCGAGTCGATCTCAGCGAGAGAAGAGAAAGGAAGGATGTGCTGCGGGGGGAGGATGTGCATGCTCTGCACTTGCTTGATCCTGGTGGTGGTCTTGATCGGAATGCTATTCGGCTTCGGGGTCTTCAAAGATGGCTTCCACAAGTTGAAGGACACCGTTCACGTCTCCGACGCCGCCGATTTCCACAGTCGCCCCTTCTTGAAGGGTTTTCACGCTCCGCCTCCTTTCTAAGTTCCGCAGAGTTCCACCGCGCGCTTCCTCTGCGAAAGTAGTTTTCTCTCTTCAGATTCTGATTGTTCCTTCCCTTCAATTTCTGTTTTTTCCCGGTTTTAGGGTTTCGCGTTTGATTAATGTAATTTGCGTCTGGTGATGGGGATTGGGTTGGGGACTGTTGCCTGATTAAGTAATGTAATCAATCTCTTTGTTACCGCAATTCGTTGTTTTTTATGTGTATAGTGATTAGCAATTTGCAGCAGCATTTCGATTAATTAGATCCTTCGTTCTCTACTGTCTCTTCTTTGCTTTTTGGCGGATGCAGAGGGAGAAATAAAACTGATAACTGATGAGATAACCGTAGTGATTATCTCTGCCGGATTTATCGGCACTTTTTTCGCCTTTTTTGGAGTTGTCCAACCTATCCGTTGAAACTTAAAAGAGAGATGACCAACCAAATCCATGAATTCAAAACGACCAAAGACAATCAACTTTCTGCTAACAAAAACTTGTTAGAATATTTATGGATTGATATTTGATAAAACCTTGAATCAGGTGTTTGTCACTTATTCTCAATCGAAAGTATTTATCAATATAATGAAAATTGGCCGGAGTCTTGATCATAAGGTCCTTAGTGATGATATATATTCAATTAAAATTCTCTACATTTAATTTACCTAAGCAAACTTGGTTCTCTTCGAAATGAATTCACGTCTAACTCAGTCGAAGTTTTCTGACGACGGTTTCTTGACCAGCCAAACTTGGAGGGAGGGATGCTTATGCGAGTGCTCGCTCTCTTCTGGTGTTTATGGAGAGCTCGAAACTGGGTGGTCTTTGACTCCACGCTGTTAACACCCTCTGTGTTGCTCTCTCAGTTCAATAGATAGGTATCGGAGCGGGAGGCGGTGCCTTTGGGCAGTGGGTCTGCGCCTTTCCCGACTCCTGGGGACGCGCTGAGAGGGGGCTAGGGGGATACAGGATTAGGGGGGTGGGGTGTGGGTGTTCATGGATGGGGCCGTCTATTCGGGTTCCCATGGTGCAGGTGGCTGGGTTAAGCATGACACATCAGGAACGTTGATGCCTCTTTGTACACGGATGTTCATACCCTTTTTTGGTGGAGCTTCTAGCCTCAAGGGATGTACATACATATAAGGAAGTAGTGACAGAACATCACTGAGTCAAAGCTATGGAAGAAGAGTTGAATGCATTGATTGAAAATCATACATGGGATCTGGTGGCTCTCCCACCATATAACATAACCATATGATCCAAATGGGTGTTTAAAACTAAGCTCAGATTTGATGGTTCAATTGAAAGGCATAAAGCAAGACTGGTAGCCAAATGTTTCACACAAATCCATGACATTGATTTTCTAGATACATTTTTAGGAGCGGCAAAGATAAATAATGTTAAGACACTCTTAGCAGTACCAACCGTAAAGAACTGGAGTTTACATTTGGTGGATGTTTCAAATTCCTTTCTACATGGATATTGGATGAAGAGGGCATACATGAAACCACCACTTTGTCTTCCAAGAAGTGCAAGGTAGGTTTGTAGAGTTAGAAAGTCATTATATGGACTGAACAGGTTAGCAGACAATGGCTTGCCAAGCAGGCGTGTTCATTGCTGAAAAATGGATTCCCACAGTCTCTATCAGACTATTCCATATTTAATAAGAAGGTACAATGAATGAGTGTCATACTACTTATTGATTAGATGCATAATTGTTGCTTGAGAAAGACTTGATGACCTGGACTCAGTGAAGTTATATTTGAAGAAGACTTTTAAAGATCAAGGATCTGGGGTATCTTGAAGTATTTTCTAGGACTTGAAATTGTAAGAAATGGAGATGGAAGTTTTAATCAACAAAAATATTGTCACCACTGTTTCTCTGCGAATTGGGAAATAGGAGGTTTCAACAAAGCAAGAAAACACAAGAACACACACAACACATGATTTATGTGGTTCACTAACACAGTGTGTGTTAGCTTGTCCATGGGCAGGAGAGAGCCAGTTTCACTATACTTGGAGGCAATACAGATTACAGAAGAATATGAGAAGTATTTATAGTACTTCTCCATGGTCTAATCCTAAGCCAATATGATAAAGAAAAAGCAGTTACAACCAGTCCCATAACATGAACCCAAATAATATTGCGCTCATACACTATGGAGAATCCAAGCTGCCACAAAAGGCTTATTGGCAGACTGCTGCATTATCTCACCATTTATAGACCATACATATGCTTCACTGTACAACAACTGAGCCAGTTACAAGGCAATCCACTTGACACACACAGGCAAGCAACATATAGAGTTCTAAGATATCTCAAAAGGTCACCAGGTCAAAGAATTATGTTCAGAAGGTAATATGATTCTTCTATCACTGGATACAGTAATTCTTATTGGGCAGCTTGCCCTGATATAAAAGAGGATATATCACAAGTCTGGTCACCTAATTAGGGAATCATCTCCTTACATGGAAAAATAAAAAGTAAACAATATTTTTCATATACTCATTAGAAGCAGAGTGTCATGCATTGACACACCTGGTTTGCGAAGAGCAATGGTTGAACGAGCTTCTAGCAGAGTAGGAAGTTCAAGTTTCAACTCCTATTACTGTGTATTGTGACATTAGATAAGTCATTCAAATAACTGAGAATCATGTTTTCTACGAGAGAACAAAGCACATCGAAATCAACATGCATGTGACCAGGAAGAGGATCAAGAGTGGTCTACCTTCATTCTTCATACCAGGTAGCTGAAATTTTCTCTAAAGGAGTTAGCAAATTCACATTGTTGGAATTTCTTAGCAAGATGAGAGTAATTGATGTATACTCGCCACTAGCTATCTTATGGGGGACTATTGAAAGAACAACAAAAAATCAACTGAACTACAATAATTGCAGTGATTAGTTTATTCTTTGATATGCTTAAACATATATTAGTTATGTATTAATGAATTCCATTAAGCCACGTGTCAAAGCTTGGTTAATGGAATTGAAAAAATGGTTAATTACTGTACATTAGCCTCTTGTTCTAGTATAAATACAAAAACCCCTAAAGATATGAGGCAGACTTTCTGATGCTCTCATCCACCCCAAATTATGAGCTTCATATTTTTTCTCAACAGGTGATGGTACCATTGTAGAAGAAGAAAAATATTTAGATGTTGTGACTGAGACAACCAAATTGAGAAAGGAAAGTAGAGTAGACACCAAGTTGAACAACAGTAATGGTTGCGACAACATCTTCTAGATCGGTGGAGTTTGGGAAAAAAATTCAAAATTACCATTATTTAAAAAAATTATAAAACTATAACCTAAACGAAAAAATTTCAAATCTACCACCCTTAACTAAAAACCGCACCACCGAGGGGCGGTTATAGTGAAAACCGCACTGCAAGTAGGCGGTTTCTTATGGAATCGCATGCCAGAGGAGCGGTTTGAGTTTTTTGAGAAAACCTCTTTTGGAAGAAGCGATTCCCATGGCTGCCCTAGTTCAAACCGCATGCTTGGGGTGCGGTTCTGTGGCCTTTTTGAGAAAATCTCTAACACAAGGAACTAGAGTTCTTCATACCCAAGTGAGAGAAAGGTTCTACTCCATAGAGAGAGAAAGGAAAACAGAAATCAGAGTAGTCATACTCATAAAGATGAGGAAGATCTGCTCTGGGATGTCAATCTTCACTCCTGGGGACGCAATCTGGGCTTCAATGGTGACAAATCCACTCCAAATAGCTCCTAGGGTTTGTTCTTCGCTCTTTCTCTCTCTAAAACTCTGTTTTTGCTCTAGAAACTCGAATTCCTCCTCCTTGGCTCGAATCTGCCTCCAAAAACCCGACTCTGGGCGAATTACGGGCTGAATTACGGTCGTAATCACGGCCTGCCCGTAATTTCCCCAAAACGCACGTTTCAATTTACTCTGAAGGAGAAGGATCTACGCCCGTAATTCCACAATTACCGCCAGTATTTTAGGAATTACGGTCGTAATTCTTTGGATGCTTGCCCGTAATTTTAGTGCCGAGGAGAATTCTTGGGAAAGAGGCTCGGCATCGGTTTTACGGGCATGCCCTGGCCAATTACGGTCGTAATTTGGCAGGGGCTGCCAGTAATTTGTCCTGTGAATCGCCATCTGACCTCCAAATGACCCGAAACTTGCGCCTATGCACCTCTTTACTTGTTAGGACCTGAAATACGACAAAACAACACAACCTAGCGTAAAATAGGCCAAGGAACAATTAATTCGAGCCAAAATGGACAGGAAACCAGAGTGAAAACACGTGCAAATACGATGCTATAACTCCTCCAATTCTCCTCGTCTGTTCGCCGCCAGATTAGGCGATGAACGAGAAAGACAACAACAAATCAACAGCAATAAGGAAGCCGACGGTGGCGAACATGACAAGGACGGCAATTCTACGAACTGCTGTATAACGTTGGTGCCTCTTCTTGCGCTTACTCCACTTCCAATTCCGACTCCGATCCCGACCTTCTCATCCCTTCCTCCTCCCGTTCCTGCAACTCCAACAATTCGGTCCTTAATCGCGATCGCAATTCTGTTTTCCCTCCAGCTACAATGGTTCTTTTTCAATCGCCGAAGCCATCTCTTCAATCAGATGGAACTCTCTCCTCCGATGAGTCTTCCTTATCGTACTACGGCGCTACCAATCCGACAAGTGTGTTGATTTGAACTCTGTGCTCTCCGTCTACACCGATGCTGCTTGGCTACAGGGGAACGATACTGGGTTTTGGATTTTTTTTGTTTAGGGCTTTTCTACGTGGAACGGTATGAATGCAAATTAGTAATTACACCTTTTTTTAGGTAAGTAGTGTAATTAAGCTTTCTAAGGTAAAAATAAAGAAAGTTTCTTAATTCTTAAGTCCTTTTTTAAGTACATCATAGTTTTTTATTCTATATACATATACATGATAAATCTCTTGAAATGGTGAATATAATCTGTAAGATGTGAACCACGGATTGAAAAACCGTACCTATGGTTCGACCATAAAAACTTTCTATTGGAGGCTAAAATGATAGGCCATATTTAACTGTATGAAACAATAGAATCAGAATTTTAGTATAAAATACCCTACCAAAGAATTTTCCTGTACGGTATTTCAATCTTTGATAGAGGTGGCAATTGGATCGGATTCGTGGATTCATGGATTGGATTGGTGGATCCATGGATCAAATGGATTGGATTCAATGGATTGGTGGATTTATGGATTGGATCAAATGGATTGGTGGATTGATCCATGAACCCAAATGACATCCAAAGCTTGGACTAAAATGTAAAATCTGAAAAGTTTTGGTACTAAAATGTCATAATGAAAATTTTTAGGTACCAAAATGTATTTTTCCAATGATATTTTTCGTATAAAAATATAAATTTTAGGTACCAAAATGTAAAATATAAAAAAATATAGGTATCAAATCGTAATTTGCCATTTGGATCCATGGATTGATCCATGAATCCACCAATCCAATTGGATTTGGATCAAATGGATTGGATTAGGTGAATAATTTGGTGGATGGATTGGATTGGATTCATGGATTTGGATTCTAATTGCCACCTCTAATCTTTGATGTGAACGTCTTCTCATCGACTTCAACATATTAATTTATGGGAACTTTCTCATTAATTTTAACTAACACAACGTTATAATCCATAACAAATTGATAATTTAAATATTATAAAATATATTTACGATTTCAATCTTTGATAGTAAAAAAATACTATCTTTTACTCTCGGTTGGGAGTTAGATTCAAACCTACGGATCTTCTACTTAATTGTTTTCCGGCGAGGAAAAACTGGTGTTTGAATATCTTCCAAAAGGAAAAAGATCTCTGAGAGCTATTTCTTGGATCCGAAAGAACACAATGAATGCACCTTGACTTCTTGAACAACGATTCTAAACGCGGTTCACTCCTCTCCGAACAATGTTCGAACGAGGGTGTTTGATGTTTTTGATGGTTTTTCGGAAACAAGCTAAGTTAATTACACCTACTCCTATGGAGGTTCAGTGAGAGCTCCGAAAACTAAGGGTAAAAGCTAATTTGCAGAGAAAAGATAAAAGTTTGACATAGTGTGTCAAATGGTTGGTTGTGGAACCCTTGCTTCGTCTTCGTTTCTCCTATTTATAGTCATCCCTTGTAACCGTCGTGCAACCGCCTCTTGGTAACCGCTGCTCCACTGCTTGGTGTTTGATGTAGCTTGCTTGATGCATTGACTGTCTTGCGTGCTTGCCACTTGATAGCTAACCCCTTGTGCCATGGAGGTGTCTTGTTTGGTGAGTGAAGGCTTCACACTTGGTGGTACTCGTGCTAACCACCTTGACATGACGTCATGCTCGACACCAGGGTGCTTGGGGGTTCGATGGATCCGCACTGACCCCCTTGGGGTGGCATCATGCTTGACACCCTAGTGCTTGACCCCTTTGGACGGTGTCATGCATGACCCCCCTGGTGCAAGGTAGGTAGATGGCATAGTGCTTGACCCCCCTTGTGCTATGGGTCTTAACACTTAGCCAAATTTTGGCTCTCTTTGCCACCACAGTTAGCTCGCGTCTCGTCATACTCAACTCACATTGGATGGTATCATGCTTGACCCCCTAGGATGATGTCATGCATGACCCCCTTGTGCTTGACCCCCTTGGACGGTGTCATGCATGACCCCCCTTGGACGATGTCATGCATGACCCCCCTTGTGCTTGACCCCCTTGGATGGTGTCATGCATGACCCCCTGGTGCTTGAACCCCTTGGACGGTTGGATCTCCATACTTAGCCAATTTTCACCTCGGCATCATGCTTGACACCCTAGTGCTTGACCCCTTTGGACGGTGTCATGCATGACCCCCCTTGGACGATGTCATGCATGACCCCCCTTGTGATTGACCCCCTTGGATGGTGTCATGCATGACCCCTCTTGTGCTGTGGGTCTGAACACTTAGCCAAATTTTGGCTTTCTTCGCCCCATCATGTCTAGGGGTAATTACCCGCGAGGTAGGTGTCATGCATGACCCCCTTTGTGCTTGACCCCTTGGACAGTGTCATGCATAACCTCCCTTGCGGTGGCATGCTTGACCCCCTTGTGCTGTGGGTCTCAACACTTAGCCAATATTTTGGCTCTCTTTGCCACCACACGGCGAAAGGGTACTCGCGATGACCCCCTTGTGGTTGGGTCTCCACGACTTGGGTGGTTGATGTTGAAGGGTGTCAACACGCTTGACACTTGACCCCCCTGCGTGACGGATGGGTGTTTGGTGGGTCAAGTAGTGTGTGTTGAGGTACCTGGTATGAAGCCCAAAATACCATCATTTAGGCCCAACTTAAACCAATTTAATTAATATGGTTAAGTTGGTCTTATAAATCACTACCACTCCTTGAAAATAATCAATGTGGTATTGAGTGATTTTTTAGTGGTAAACAAAAGCCCCCCAACTACTTAGTGCATAAAGATTATGGACTAAGTAGTTAACGTCAACTACACCACTAAAAAAAATGCTCGTTGGTTTGAATAATAAAAACCAAAACGCACTAAACCACCCCTGCAGCATATCCAACTGTAATTATCGAAAGAACAAAATCAATCACTGCCTCCACTATTCTATCCCAACACGCCCTTCGTGTCATGGCTAGCTACGCAAGCTGTGTCCACAAAGAGGGTGTCATGTCATGCCTACCATCAGGATGGTTGGTTAACTTTGAACCCGTTGATACCCCTTGCCCCAAAGAAAAAAGGACATATTCATTGATCAACCGATCATGTAGCATCCGATCCTCTTTCAACAAGTATGCATCCTTAGACAGGTGGCATGGAAGGGACACAATCCATGACGGACAGCTATTCAGCTACTCATGCCATGAAGTGGCATGATGTACTCAAACGAGCGTAAGGGGCTCCATAGACCCAACCACTTGACTCGTTGTTTACCAGTCATGGCAAAGTCTTCACATCGCAAGTGTTACAACTCTAATTTCTTTTTTTTTAGCCATGATTGGCTTTTTTCTCTTATTTTACTAGTATTTATTTATTTATTTTAATATAGCAAAGAGTGACATGCATCACTGATATCCAAACCCTTTGGCAACCATCAACATGCCAAAGGTGTACACCCACTGCCAAGTCCATGAATTAAACCACACCAACCATCCATAAACTGCATGTTTCTCCTCCTTAAGGAGATACGACTCCTTTGGTGTTGATTTTGAATTTTCCAACTTAACAACAGATGGTTTGTCTCGTTTCTGGTGGTACTCTAGGTACTCTCAACTCATTGGGCTCATGAAAGAGACCACGAGTTTTTAACTTCCTTGGTTTCGCCCAACCATGCTTAATCATCCCATATAGTTGGGACCAGGAATGTTTGGACTCAACAAGTCGATGACCACCCTGGTGGCCAACCTGATCCTGTTCAACCCTTACGGCTTGCTGACTTCTACACGTAGCACATAACCTCTGGTTCTTTGTAGGACCATTTCTGGTTTTTGTATGCCGGGATGTCTTGTTCATGCCCATGCCATTCATATTTGGCATGCCATGAGGGTTGTTAAGCATGGACTTGCTTCTTTGTCCATCTATTAACACACTCTCATACTTAAAAAAATTTTGAGTGGCTTGGGTGTGCTGCACACTCATATAATTTTCTCCCACTTGTTTCTTCATGGTCGATGACATGCCCCCCTGTCCAGTGGTTGGAGACATGTCCCCCATACCATTATTCATGATTGTTGACGTGCCCCCCTTTCCGAACTTAGCCATATTAGTATGCTTACTAAAAGCATGTGTGGCTTCATGTTGTGGCTTATTGGGCACACCTATCAACCTACTAGTGGGGATTGATGACATGCCCCCCATGTCATCCTTAGCTACACTATCATGCTTACTATAAGCATGTGTGGCTTGAGTTTGTTGTTGTTTCTTGGGCACGTCTATCTGTCTATTGTTTGTGGTTGGTGACATGCCCCCTTGTCGACCATTCATGGGTGGCATGCTACAAGGAGCCTTGCCTTCTTGTGCACTCTTTGACACGTCAAAGTTATGAAAATCATAGGTGGCATGGGTAGGCAACACCCACTTAGACTTGCCACTCACTCTATTCTTCATGTTTGATGACATGCCCCCCTTAGCCACGCTAACATTCTTACTGGCAGCACATGCGGCTTGGGATTGTAATGGCTTCTTGGACACAACTTTCAACTCACTGCTTGTGGTTGACGACATGTCCCTCATGTAATCCTTAGACGATAAACATGGTATTCTGTTGGACACACCCTTTTGTTCAATTTTCTTGACATCAACGTGTCCCCCAGCCTGACACTTCACCTTCAACTTGTCAGGTGGTAGGCTACCATGCCCTCCTTGCTGCCCCCTTGATGGTTTGTATCCATCAGGCTTGCTGGAAACACATGTGGCTTGTTCCGCACAACTGTCAACCCACTGCTTGTGGTTGATGACATGCCCCCCATGCCATCTCCAGACAACAAATATGGTATTTTGTTGAACACACCCATTTGTTCAATTTTCTTGACGTCAACTTGCTCCCCAGGGTGACATTTCACCTTGTTAGGTAGACTTCCATGGCCTTCTGCATGCCCCCCTGGCGATTTGCATCCACCAGGCCTCTCGAGCATAGATGGCATCGAGTTTGGGCAAGCTTGTGGTAGCATATCAGCTATTAACCCTCCACCGACTCTCACGTTCAAGCATGGTCTAGCCTCTGAGACAGTTTTATGAGTAACTGTCGGCACAGGCGGTTGCTTTACATGAGTGGTGAACGTGGGAGCGAGATTCTCGCCACAACCACCATGTTGAAGAGGTAGTTGAATTTCCATCGGAGACGATGAGTTCTCTGACCGTGGCTGAGCAGTCCGGCCACCGGAGGCTAGATTACTCGTATACTCAGTAACAATGTTTGACGGTGGATTTACACCATCTTTTGCCAAAACTTCCGATCTCAACACTGGTTTTATCGAAAGTTGACAAAACTCCTTAAAATTATTTTTATTTATCTCGCAAATCTCATCCAGTTGATCCAAACGTCGATTTATGCGAGTATGGAAAAAATCAAGTTGAGATACCATTTGTTTGGTGTATCCCACCACAGCCTCCTCCATTAATTTTATTTCTACCAGCAGTGACTGGTGGAGAGACAAGGTGGATGCGGTTACACCCAAACATGGCGCCGGTGATGGTTGGCCTCTTACCCCACCATTGTTTCCGGCGTCACTTCTTGCTAGTTGACCAAGATCATAACTGGCCGCTAGCTCTTTTACAAACCCATGTGAAAGATCACCTTCTTGTTCTCTCAGTCGTGGAGCCATCAAAGCAAACACACAGTGTCCCACCAGGTGTGCCAATTTGTTTTCCGGCGAGGAAAAACTGGTGTTTGAACACAATGAATGCACCTTGACTTCTTGAACAACGATTCTAAACACGGTTCACTCCTCTCCGAACAATGTTCGAACGAGGGTGTTTGATGTTTTTGATGGTTTTTTGGAAACAAGCTAAGTTAATTACACCTACTCCTATGGAGGTTCAGTGAGAGCTCCGAAAACTAAGGGTAAAAGCTAATTTGCAGAGAAAAGATAAAAGTTTGACATAGTGTGTCAAATGGTTGGTTGTGGAACCCTTCCTTCGTCTTCGTTTCTCCTATTTATAGTCATCCCTTGTAACCGTCGTGCAACCGCCTCTTGGTAACCGCTGCTCCACTGCTTGGTGTTTGATGTAGCTTGCTTGATGCATTGACTGTCTTGCGTGCTTGCCACTTGATAGCTAACCCCTTGTGCCATGGAGGTGTCTTGTTTGGTGAGTGAAGGCTTCACACTTGGTGGTACTCGTGCTAACCACCTTGACATGACGTCATGCTCGACACCAGGGTGCTTGGGGGTTCGATGGATCCGCACTGACCCCCTTGGGGTGGCATCATGCTTGACACCCTAGTGCTTGACCCCTTTGGACGGTGTCATGCATGACCCCCCTGGTGCAAGGTAGGTAGATGGCATAGTGCTTGACCCCCCTTGTGCTATGGGTCTTAACACTTAGCCAAATTTTGGCTCTCTTTGCCACCACAGTTAGCTCGCGTCTCGTCATACTCAACTCACATTGGATGGTATCATGCTTGACCCCCTGGGATGATGTCATGCATGACCCCCTTGTGCTTGACCCCCTTGGACGGTGTCATGCATGACCCCCCTTGGACGATGTCATGCATGACCCCCCTTGTGCTTGACCCCCTTGGATGGTGTCATGCATGACCCCCTGGTGCTTGAACCCCTTGGACGGTTGGATCTCCATACTTAGCCAATTTTCACCTCGGCATCATGCTTGACACCCTAGTGCTTGACCCCTTTGGACGGTGTCATGCATGACCCCCCTTGGACGATGTCATGCATGACCCCCCTTGTGCTTGACCCCCTTGGATGGTGTCATGCATGACCCCTCTTGTGCTGTGGGTCTGAACACTTAGCCAAATTTTGGCTTTCTTCGCCCCATCATGTCTAGGGGTAATTACCCGCGAGGTAGGTGTCATGCATGACCCCCTTTGTGCTTGACCCCTTGGACAGTGTCATGCATAACCTCCCTTGCGGTGGCATGCTTGACCCCCTTGTGCTGTGGGTCTCAACACTTAGCCAATATTTTGGCTCTCTTTGCCACCACACGGCGAAAGGGTACTCGCGATGACCCCCTTGTGGTTGGGTCTCCACGACTTGGGTGGTTGATGTTGAAGGGTGTCAACACGCTTGACACTTGACCCCCCTGCGTGACGGATGGGTGTTTGGTGGGTCAAGTAGTGTGTGTTGAGGTACCTGGTATGAAGCCCAAAATACCATCATTTAGGCCCAACTTAAACCAATTTAATTAATATGGTTAAGTTGGCCTTATAAATCACTACCACTCCTTGAAAATAATCAATGTGGTATTGAGTGATTTTTTAGTGGTAAACATTAATGCATCCTGCAGTTTATCTATATTTTAAGTTATATAATGTGTTATTCATCATAAGTGTTTTTTACATTTGCTGTGGGATTGGTGTGGTCGAAACTTGAATGACTCAAGAAAATAGGTTATGTTATGTACCATTCTTGGTTGGATGTATATCATATTAGAGTATGGGTAGTACGAGTAGTATTATGTTATATTACGAGTATTGTTATGTAATTGAGCAATGTTATATTCCTTATTAGAGTCGTAGAAGTTAAGTAATTTTCCTATTAGTGTTAGGGTTATTATAGAAGTCAGTCTCTATAGTCTATATAAACCCATGTTGTTTCAGTAATAATACACAATAGTTTCCACCGTATTCTGATTTCCCAACATATCATTGATGAAATTAAAATTTACACCGAGTGCAAGTAGGTGCTCATGGCCTGTAAAATAATTAAGTGTATTTGATGTGGCCTATAAAATGACATTTTTAGTTAATGGTTGGCATCTTAATTTCATAATAATTGTGGTGTTATGGTACTTCTATATTTTGTTCCAAAATTGTCCCTTTGTGGACGTCGGACAATTCTCCTTTGTGCTCATGAAAGTTGTGACAAGGATCCTCTAAATTTTCGTACCCGTCCCGAAGCGGAGCGCGGGCAGTAAAACTAGTTAGTATTAAGTCGTTAGTTCAAATAACACCCCAATTCATGAGAATTAGCGCTACACAATCACGAAAGTCCAAATGTTATCACCTACCCGGAAGATAAAACGAAAAGACTGGATTCAGACCCCCCCATATACATATGACCCCGATTCTTGAGAACTAGTGACGGCGGCGGAGTGCTTTTTACCGAGGAGGTGATCCACCATACTGATCGTCCCACTGCAGCTCACATCACAGACGGTGCAGTGCCACGTGGCAGCGCCGGTGCGCCTCAGGAGCACCACACTGGATTCCGACCGCCCATCCCTCACCATCACCACCCTCTTCTTCTTCTCCCTCAGTTGGTTGGTCAGGTTCAGCCTGTGCCGCTTCCCCCGGAGGTGCGAGTTCAGCGTTTCCTCATCACGCGCCGCCGTGACGTGGCAGAGATAGCATCCCCAGACACGCGATCGCACCGCCGGGCCAGCTGGGACATCTACTACTAATTCCACTCCCGTCTCTTCTTGCTCCGACCCCAGTCGTCCCACCGCTGCTTCCTCGTCAAAATCATCATGGTCAATGTCAGGACCAGATTTCTCATCAGATTCCTGATCATCAGGAGCCCAGGTTTCGTCCACCTCTCCTTGGATATTGTTGCTGCTGTTTTCATCATGATCATTATTATTAGTTTCATCATCAGGACGTCCACAGCTCTCTCCGTCCCTACAAATACAAAATAATAAGCCATGCATGAAAGTAGAAGCTTGCTAGCTAGAGATCTGTAAGCAACTATGGAAGAAGAAAAAAAAATGAACTGAAGCTAGCCTTGGATGGAAGAGAGATGATGTTGCGTACAAATTAGACCGGATGCGGTTGGCAAAGGCGGGAAAGCAGTACTCCAGTAGAAACTTGAGGAAACGCATATTCTTCTGATCTGCTAATAGCTTTTGTTGCGTGCGTTCAGTAATCAACAGTTCTCTTCGCCTGTCTCTTCGGGTCGGCCGCGACGCTTGGAAACCTAATCTATATTCACATGCATATATATATATATATAGATAGATAGATAATCAACCGTACGTCGTCGTAAGTGATTGGAGAAGGTAGACAGACAGTCACCGGAAATGGGAATTGAATATTTGTGCATTAATTAATTACTTTGTTCTTTGGAAGAGCAACTCGAGAACCTCATGGAAAGTGGAAGTGATGCTTCGACTGACTGCTGTTGCTTGTCCCGAGACACCGATACAAGTTCCTAGACAATTGCTCTCAACTCCACAGTGTTTTCTCAAGGCTAGTTATAATATTATGTAATAAGAATTGAATTTGTGACACCTGAATTCGGTTCAATCTGTGATAGATAAAAATGGGAGTAGAGCAGACCGAAACACATACGCTGTGAAAGCACAATTAATAAATGAAAGTTTGTTGAATCGTGTATCTCCTTGGACTTGTTTTATACTTTGAGGACCTTTCTGTTATTTGCCTCTTTAACCTAATTGCCCTAGTGACGTAGTTGAAGGGTATATTAGGTGAGCTTTGTAACCGAGTGCTGCAAGATGAGCGGCTCATATTCTGCAAACCATAATAAGATAAACTGAGAGCTTCGGCTCTCCGTGGAGTAGTCTCGTTCTCACGGAACGGGGAAACCACATAAATCACAGTGTTGTGCTTCCGCGTTTTAGTAGATTTTACATGGTATCAGAGCAGGTCGTCATCTTACTCTGATTTAAGCGACTATGACAACTGGAGAAGATGGTGGCTCGGGTGGCAAGGCCGTCGTCACCGACGGTGATACTATACCACTGACCTCGCCCCTCTATCTTCACCCATCAGAGAATCCAGGCCAATTATTTGGGAGTGATCTCTTGACAGATTCAAACTACGGTGAATGGGTTAACGATATGACGGAAACCCTAATCGCCAAGAACAAACTGGTGTTTGTTGATGGTAGTTTTCCACGATCCAAGGCAGGTCCGGGAGTCAGGGACGATGCATGGGGACGATGTGATGCTACTGTGAAAGGATGGCTGAAAACAGCCATGAGTAAGGAAGTCAGGAACAGTGTACGCGCGGCCAAAACCGCGAGGGATATTTGGGCTGACCTTCAGCAGCGATTCGGGAAAGGTTCCGCAGGTAGAGCGTACGAACTACGCAGAACAATTGGCTCGATGAGGCAGGAGAAACAGTCTGTATCCGCCTTCTATACCAAGCTCATAACATACTGGGACGAGCTACATTCGGTCACAATTAATCCGCGATGTACTTGTGGAGCGTGCACATGTGATGTTGCTCGCCAGACGCGAGAGAAGGAAGAGACGGAGAGGCTGTTCGATTTTTTACTTGGTTTGGACGACGCCTTCTCGGTGGTTCGTTCACAAATCTTGAGCATCAAGCCAACCCCATCACTTGCTGAAGCTTATCAGCTTGTTGCTGCTGAAGAACAGCAGCGCCACATCACCAGTGGGAGACGTCCGCCAGTTGAGGCAGCAGCCTTCCAAACGCGACGTGAGAAAGAACCTGAAGATGAACCTGTCCGTTGCAGCCATTGTAACAAGAAGGGACATACAAAGGAATCGTGCTATAAGCTGATTGGGTACCCTAGTGACCAAGGTAAGGGTCGTTCTAGTGATCGGGGTAGCGAGGGCAGACGTGGCAAGCAGGATGGGAAGTCACAGCCGCGCGCTGCAGCTGTGGAAGCCGAGGAAAGTCCCATCCCGGGGCTAACGTCGGCACAGTTTGCGCAACTAAAGCAGCTACTTACACCTCCTGCTCCCCCGACGTCAGAACCTACTGCGCACATGGCTGGTAAATCTCCTGAACTTACTGAATGGGTTATTGATTCAGGTTGTAATGAGCATATCGTGCGTGATTCTCGTTGGTTAGACAAGTTGCATACGGGAGACTCATATTCACATGTTCGTATTCCGGATGGGTCAAGTGTACCGGTTATGGGTATCGGGTCCGCACGTTTGAGCTCTCATCTACAGCTGCAGCAAGTTCTTTTTGTCCCTAGTTTCAAGTGTAATTTGTTGTCAGTGAGTCGTTTGACTAAAGATAATGCAGTGACTTTGTCCTTTGTGGCCGATCTTTGCATCATCCAGGACTCACGCTCCAAGATTACGATTGGACTGGGTCATCTTCGTGACGGACTTTATTATCTTCGGCGGTATGAGGAGTTTGGAGCTGGATTAAGCGATGGAGTTTCTACTGGTTTCGCAGGTGCAGCTAGCAAAGTCTCCCCAGAGCAGTGGCATGCGAGATTGGGGCACCCATCCGCTGAAAAATTTCGGATTTTGCATTCTTGTTTGTCTTTGTCGGATT